GGTAATAATAAAAATCATCAACTTGTTCTGTTAAAGGAAAACTGATTTGGTTGAATGGTAATAATAAAAATCATCAACTTGTTCTGTTAAAGGAAAACTGATTTGGTTGAATGGTAATAATAAAAATCATCAAATCATTCTGTTAAAGGAAAGCTGATTTGGTTGAATGGTAATAATAAAAATCATCAACTCGTTCTGTTAAAGGAAAGCTGATTTGGTTGAATGGTAATAATAAAAATCATCAAGTCATTCTGTTGATTTGGTTGAATGGTAATAATAAAAATCATCAACTCTAGTTTATTATATAATAAGGATATTAAAAGATGCAATAAGATTATTGGAGACTTACAAGAGCATTTGAAAAAAAAGGTTGCAGAAGAAGAAGAAATATCTGATGAAATGTCAAATATTGTAGATAATGTAGTGACAAAGGTTGTAAAAAATGCAATAGACATTTCATCATTTAATCCAATTTTTCAGGAACTGATTCGTATACAGTCTGGGAAGCCCAAAGGAACAAGATATCATCCAATGTAAGTTAATTATAATAAAACAAAAAAAAATGAGACTGACGTTTTTTTTTATTTATCAATTATTAGGTTTTTACAGTGGGCACTGTCATGCTGGAAATACTGCCTATAATGCTATGAAAGGAATCATGCATTTACCATCTGCTTCAACTCTTAAAAGCTATATAAATGAATGTGAGCAAAAATCTGGTTGGCAAGATAAAATAGCTCACCAAATGCTTAGTAGCTTGACTATAGAAAATATTTGGGGTTATGGTCAAATAGGATTTTTTTCACATGATTCTTTCAAGATCCAAAAAGGTTAGTTTTACAGTGAAAATGATTATAAATAGTAAAAATAGTTGCTCACCCACTTAATGATTGAATTTGACAGGTCTTCTTTGGAGTCAACGTAGCAACAGTTATGTTGGCTACTTGGATTTTGAAGATGAGGCTCAAGATCTACATTCATTTGCCATCCAGTGTAAAAGTGAATTAATGATGACAAATGATGGAGAAATTTCTGTAAGTGAAAAATCCGACCATGGTTTGTCTACACAAGTTCATCAGATTGTGTGGCATTCAGTAACTCTTAATTTTTCTTTTCCATTATCATACTATGGAATTAATACAATGACAACTCATTGGGGTGTGCGACATTCTAAGAAAATCAAAACTAATTAATGTCATATATTGATTGGTATATGTAAATTTTTTTTA